ATATTATACAGAATGTATTTTGGCTAAGTATTGTTCAGTATTTAATGGGTTTGTTTCTCGAGGAGATTATCAACTGTGGAAATTAAGCCATAAGGTTCGAGAAGTTCTTTTCCACGTATTAATACAATGATCACCTGTTAATATAACAAAGAGACATTAATTTTTAACATGACAAAAATATTTTAATTTTCTTTTTATCTATTATCTGTTATACGAGTTACTTTCAAGTAGTATATAAGAAACCTGTTATTAGTTATCCAATGTTATACTTATTTTAGTACCACATTGTTACGCCGTTGGTTTCCAAATAAATAAATAAATTATCTTGGGTGGCAAATATAAGCCATCATGATTAACTAGAAATGGTTTATTCAAATATATGTCTACATTTAGACTAATTCATATTTAATTTGTATTATTGCAACTATTTTTTTAAAAATATTAAGCATTTGTAGGAAAAAAAGCATCGAAATTCAAATACGAATAATCGCAGTTTCGTGCCATGTGAAGTTTCATCTTCCCGTTAGGCAGATGGACTCTTTTTGTCAATATATCTCACCTATATAAGGCTGAAAGCAAATAATGTGACTTGAAAGAGGTGAAAGAGAAATGTGATAGATACCTGTATGTATGCATTAATCCTTATGTTTACATATAAATAATACAAAAAAAAAACTACTTCCGTATGAATGAATGATATTTATTTGTAAGAAAGTGGTCACATAAATGATGTTAATTATCAAAGAAAAGCACACACATTCTGCCGACTTGATCAGCGTACAAATATTTTAATACCTTTAACAATCTAATTAATATTTCTTAATGTCAGATAAAATAAAAAAAAAAAAACAATATCATTTCTCGTACATGCACTGTCAAATTCGAAATTATGTCAAAATCTATCATTTATGAAGTCATTAACATTATAATACATTTTATCTAATAATAAATTAAATACTATTTTCTTAAATTTATTAAACGGTAACTTTGTTATGTCAGTTGGTAATTTATTAAAAATACGTATTGCCAGGCAGTAACAATTACTTGAATATACATGAAGCCTCTGTGACGGTATATACAATTTGTCACCTGTACGTAATACATCTATGGTAGAAAACCTGGTAATGATCATTGCCCCCTTTTTAATCGTTTGGCACTTCGAAACGTTCTTACTAATGCATAGGCAAATATATTACTTTGACATGAACAGTTTCTAAAATATTACATTACATCAAATATCGTACCATTGACAGCTGTGATTAGCTCAATTTCACTTCCTCGTAACTTTTATAATGGCCAAAACCAGGTAATAATATTAAATTAGGCAGAACCGGGTCAGCTAGTCTAATTTATGTCAGGACATGGTATGTGCATATGTCACATGATATTAATACGAGCGTTAGCCCAATCGTGTTGTATGAATGTTCAGTAATATTCTGAAAGGTAACAAACATATCACCCATTTAGTTCAGCGTCGTGGTCAAACAGTAAACTAACAAAGTTAATCGTTCGTAGATTAAGTAGCCTTCGCGGCGGAAGCGAGCCGTCCGCGCCCTTTAGCCGTGTTATCGGAAATCTCGCCGCTCCTCCGTATCCGGTTGTGTTTGTGGAAAGCCAACCGTAAATTGTTTCTTCTGTTGGTAATATTATTGTTGTTTTTACGTGACATTTTATTTCCTTTCCTTACCCACGCTCACAGCTAATAATAAGACTAAATAACAGGCAAGTTTACAACCCACGTCCAATATCTTGTAGGAATTTCCCTCTTTCAAATGTAATTTCTTAATGATTAATTACGGGAAATATGGTAAAAACGAGAACTAAAACTTGTGTCTGGTTTGAAACACTGATCGCCTGAAACAAATTGACAATGATAGAAGAAAAACATTTTGCTACCAAAATAAGTCAACACCTCCCAATTCGATGTTTCAGCTTAATTAGATTCGCCATGATTTAAGATATATATACTACTTCCGTTCCATATTCGTTGGACCGATATCCCCGACCTTCAAACACCCGGGTCGGAAAGAGACAATTTCCCTTTATTCTCCTTAATTAGTTGTTACATAAAAATAGCACCCGTACCAATTTCTCAGTCCTTAAAAAAATATATGAGCAAAATACTGTTTTTATTAAGATTTATTTTATATGAGCGTAAACTTCGACTGCAAACTCTCTAGTTAATAATCGTATTTTGAACCTCTAATATACAAAGGAGTTTTAAACAATGGATTTAATAAAGAACAAAGAATTTCCATTGTGAATAATTTTCATGTGAATTCTATTTCGTTGGTGTTTTAAAATACCTACCACTGCATACTTAATATTCTACCTTTCGAATACGCGTCAAAAGAATGTGTATTAAATTCTCTTCCTATATTTATACTACGAACATTAAGGATGATATTGCAGTATTTTAATGAAATTGTGATATGTTTTACAATGTGTTACATACCTAAAATGTTATGATTTAATATGTGTATTCTAACCTTTAGTAATTATCATTATTTAATACTTGGAGTAAATGAAGAGATGAAACATGTTTAGTGCATTTCTTGACTTTCTTTTTGAAAATATTTTTACATTAATTTGCAAAATATATTTTAAATTATAAAATATGAATTACCACTTTGGAAAATTTGATAGCCTCCTTATTCGAGTGGCTTGTCAGTTTCAAGTTGTTGCCATTTTCCGAGGTTTAATTCGATGTCCGATCGCATATTAGGATATTACAAAAGATTATATTTTAATTTGTTTAAATATGAACTTTTTTAAATATCGCCGAAATTCTACGTGCTTTGGTACCTTCAATCTTTAATCACACAGGGGTTAACTATTAAAAATTGTTTATTAGTTTTCTAAAAGTAGTGTAAAAAGCAATCAAAATCTTAGTCGAAGTGATCCAAAACGTCTTAAAGTAATCAAATATTTATCGCATTTTTATGTTTTAAAAGTATTTTAATTTGTTGAGTAGCGCGTGTGAAAATAAAATAAACCAGCATTAGAAACAGCCATTTGAGTATTGCTAATTACACGGTAGTTATGCTTTACAATTTTAAAATCATATGATCATCTTGATATGATCACTGAGCATTTAAGGGACCTGAAACTTCTAGACGTTTAATAAAATTCATTAATCAAATTCACTTAAACTCTCGCATAACTTCTTTATCTTAAACAATTTCGGCATCGGTCTTGATCAATTCTTATTTATTACATACGGTTCATATTTCCTCAGTCAGCAGTAAAATATCTCCGTTATGTATTTTGTTAAAATGATTTTCAGACTTCACAGCGCAAAACATTTACTATTCAATATTCCTGGAAATTTAATACCCACAGTAGCTATCTGTTCCTGAAATTAATAGAACCGAAGTAATCCGTTTCACATTATTAACGTTTATTTTGATTTTCAATTATGCCAATAACCGTATAGCTTTCCGATAATTATAACGTTCCAAAATATTGTTCACTAACGCTTCTACTTTGATCTTGGCTGTTTGTGTTCTCATGGCTTTTAATCTGTTCAATTTAATTACCTTAATCGGATAACTTTGTTCAGAAAAGGAAAAATTTGATTGATATTGTGTTAACTTTGTTTTATTTAAGGGTCTTATCGAATGAGGAAGATACTGAATATCCCGGGTAAATTATGTAATTCGAATAAATTATGCCAATCCGAATTAAAAATGTCAATTCATAATTTTTAAAATGGTTACTTTTTGCAACAAAAATTATATAGACAAATTTTTGAGTTTATTGAATAAAATTCAGCTTAGTTAATAACTAGTCTGAAATTTGCTAATTGCTTAATAGATAAGGTAGATGTAATTAAAAAGCTCTTCTAGGAGTTAAAAATTATACCACATAAAATTACTTGACATAGTGAAGAAACATTAACTTTAAATATTAGAACTCATATATACCGAAACTTGCGTTAGCTCTAGAAGACGAGTTCCGTACTTTTCGCATAATGTTCTTATTCCTTTTATAGTTTGGCATAATTATTTTTTGCACATTTTTTAGCATAATTTTAATTCACATGATGTTAGTAAACATGAAAAAAACCATTGTGTGAATTAGGTTAGGTCACAACTGTTACTAAAACAAAACAAAAATTCAAGCGAGCGTAGTAGCGGCTGGCGACATACGACATGCCATATACTATATGAAATTATGTTTTAAATTATGCGTATGCTGTTGTTATATTATACATTAAAATTTTATGCAAATGAAAAATACTGTAAGTTCATATATAATACAATGATTGTAGAAATTAAGCAAAATCCATATACTCGGCCGTGTCATGGGTTGCTAATTAATTGCATCATCGAATATTGACGTTAGAAATTACAAAGCAAGAATTTATGACGTCAATGTTACACACTGAGCCTGAGCTTATACTCTTAAAATCCACATTCGGTATATCTTGTAATGTTTAGTCGTGAGTACTACTCTAATTTATGTATTATACAATAGAAAAAAGCGGAGAATCCTGAAGGCGGCGATGTATTGAAAATTGGTTTCAAGAGTGCAGTTCCTGCGTAGTTGAAAATTTTCATAATACTCGTATCACTAGAGGAATTTCAACTTTCTGAATATCAAGTTAGTTATAAAACGATAATTTAACGTACGTTTGCTTAAAAATAAACTGCTTCGTAGTGCATCGCGTTTCGTTTACTCCTTTAAAGGAATATCCGATCAAACATCGGCGTAAACTAATTCCACAGAGTAAACTTGAAACTCGGTTAAAAAGAGAAAAAAAGCAACGAAAACCCTTCGTTGACGAGGTCTAGCGCAGTGGCTCAATTTTGTAACTAATATATTATATATAAGATTTTATATCTACTATCAATAAGCTTTTATAATTTTAAAAGGGGCTCTCTAATTTACAATTACCTATTCCAATTCATTTTCCAAACCGAAAAGCAAATTCTATTTTCTAAAACGTATCGAACCCTATTTTAATAAAAAATTAATGACACCAAATTGATTTTCAGGACCAGCTCTTATCGTGAACTACGAAGAGGACTGTACGAACTTAAAAAAAAAGTAGTGTTAAAGAAATTAAGTGCCTAAAACTTGGCGTTGAGGGAGTCCGTCTGCCGTTAGTGATCAACCTACATATTGCGTGAAATGGTCAAGGTAATGAAAAAAAAAATCTCTGTATGAATAATTCACATACCGCTACTCACGCCAAGCTAACCCTTCATGTGTGGGCTTCACTTTGTAAATACATTTTCGAACCACTCTTTCGCCGGCGCTGGATCAAATGTGCCAACCTCTTGTTTGATTTTGTTTTGAAATTCAAATGTTTTAAAGGCTGCGCACCTTTTTAGCTCACCCCGTTGATCTGTTACTCGTTTGTCAGCACAGTTTCATATATATACCTAGTATAATAGCGAACCTTCATTTTTATATATCACATTTTTTAAGTTTTATTCTTTTCTTATAGACGACAAACATGATTAATTCGTGTTTTTTTTTCCTATAATCTGTTAAAAAGCTTTAAATATTTTGCCCGCCATTTTTTTTTTCTTAAAAACGCCAGTCAAAGTTGTCTGGTAAAGCCCCAATACAATTTTGATAGCTTAAATTTGATACTTTGAAGATTTTATCTTGCAATGTTTCTATTAATTAAATAAGTTTTTTGACAGGCAGTTATTTTGAAATTCAAAGTAAATATAGCGTGCCGGTAATCAGACTATATTAAAATATTCTTATCAATTCATTATACAACTACAATAAAGGTAGATTAAAACATCAAACAGCGTAGTAAATACTCGTAAATAAATAAATAAATAAATAAATATTTAACAACATCACATACATTGCTCAGATTCCAAGATGAGTAGCTAAAGCCCCCGTATTATGGAGTATCTGAGACAACGAAGGTACCACAACACCCAGACCCAAGTCAATATAGAAAAGTTCATTTTCTACATTGACCCGACCGGGAATCGAACCCGGGACCTCAGAGATGGCGACACCTTGAAACCGGCGTGCGACCCACTCGGCTACGGAGGTCGTACATATATCATCTAATAAAAAGTAGATTTCGGTACGACTTTCGTGTGACCGTTGGATGATTAGCACGCGATTCTATGCCGTAAAGATTTACAAGCAATGAAACTTTGTTATGGACTGTTCCTATTTTTTATAATTTGTAAGGTAGCTTATATATCTGAACAATAAAAAAAATATATAATCTTGAATTCATAAAGAAATATCGGACGGTATTGAAACATAAGCGGGCGAGAGACATCAAAAACGTTATATCTAAATTTCTTTTATTTTTTTACTTTACTATACTAAGGTAATATATTCCATTATATAGAGGTAATATATTCTATGCCTGTCTCCTATTCTATAATTTTCTAGTGCTGTCGACGATTGGAGTTTTGCAACTTGCGTAGACTTTTGTAGAATGTGAGAAAAAATCGCACCTACATTTTTGTGTGATCCTTATCTTTTCACCGATGAATGTGTAGTTTTTTGATGTAACCATTTTATTATATATGTTGTGACTTCTTCTGAACTTCTATGTTGATGGTACATATTTCACTCTTCTCTGTATTGGTGTGTTTCTGTTAATAACGGTGTTGTGTTTTAGTCTTATAAATGTTTTATCCGTCGAATATTTTTATATTAATATTTAGTACAGTTCATATTAAAGAAAAATATGAATTTCCTTAATCCCAGGTTCTCGAGATGGAGATGGGGTTTCGGACCAGCCTTTTCACTTAGGTTGAAAAAATGCTCTAACTGATTGAGCAGTCTAGGACGATTGCCAAAATACTACTAATGAGTGTATTTTGGTCAATGTTTAGACAATAAATTAAAAGATAGGCCAACCGCTAATGTTTACGTGAAAATTGCATCTAAAGATGACGTGATGCTGTTTGCACTTTCCCGTTATACAATCTACCTGAAGTCTAATATTATTAGTATAACGGTTCATCACACTGACAGATATTTAAGAAAATTGGACTTCAGGTAAATAGTACAATTGCTAAATAAAGTAGTTGAGATTATATTCATTGGCCTACTGGATTGTGAATGGTTGTGGGTTCGAATCTCAACCTCAGTGATGTAAAAATGTAACAAATAAATATACACAGAATGTCAGCTCGTCTTCAATAGAAGTTTCATGAACATCAGAACCGCCTTTAAAATGTGTTTTTATTTCTTACGTTGTGAAGTCTGTTTTATTTTTATTTTTTTTCTATTTTCTGGCATCCTGATGTGTTGTCGAGTGTATAAATAAAACGTTAATATATTGTACAAACTTACCCATTTTACAACGGTACCTAACATGGCTAACATGGCAACAATTCTATTAATTCATCGTAGACCCACATGTATTCATATTAAATGAACAAGTTGCGGTAAAATATTATTATCCGCTTTTACATTAAAGTCTGGATTACACGGACTCATTACAAATTAAATTGGTCAATGCGCGGTTTGTCCTATTTTAATACTGTCTTATTTTAATACTCTGTGATAATAGATTACATTTTAACGAGTTGTAGTATAACGTGATATTATTATATACGATAATTAAAAATGCGTATGTGGGCCTTAACAACCAGTGCAAATGTGCTAATAATGCACATTTGCATGGCAGCTAATGTCAGAAGTCAAAGCATAGATGTGTAATCAAATAAAACGTATTTCAAAAGGTATTAATTCTCGTTTTGTCAGAGCGTAACGCTCGACGATGACGCGACGCTGTTTTTTTAAATAATAAATAACACAGGAGTGCTTCGGTGGCTACGCCAAAACTAGCCAATAAAGGAAAAAGAACTACCGGATATTCAAGAAACTTCTTAGTGAGGTTAATATTAATACTACGAAATGGAAGAACAGCGAGCTAATCATCGTCCTATTCCAGTATTAATCGGAAGTCGAGTGAGTATTATTAGCTTTTTTATTATTATTTCTTATACTCTGGAGTAAGCTTAATAAGGAACCTTTCATTTGTCACCCATCTAGGCTTAATGACTTTATTTGGAGAACCTACTTACTCTAACGTAACTTACTAACTTTAGGTTTTTACATGAAGAAAATACTAGAGTACGTAGAGTTTTGTAACCTTACAAAATAATATGTTTAATCCGATTTAAAAATGTATTTTAGCCTTTACTCTTGTAATATACCTCGAAAAAGTGTCAAAGGAGTTCTGTGCTTGTAAAACGGACTATGCGGGCAGGTGATGCCTTTGATTCACATGGATTGAAACACTGTGGCAAACTGAAAGCATCTATACAACTTGTATACGCGTATTCCGTCCAGCGCATAATAAAAATGTATATTTGAAATTGCAACCTGAACTGTGAAAAAAACTGCGAATCTTTCAAAGCGTCATTCAGAGTTTTTCAAATTGAAGTACGTAATATCAATTAAAGAACGAAGTAGCGTTCGATAACGACGTGAAATATTATTTGATATAAGAATTACGGGTCGTATTACAGTACTTTAAGTAATATCACTAATGGAGAATACTCTTTACTTCATAAGATATTACTACTTTACCTGAATAAGAAAATCTATTCTCCAAGAAATAGCCACCTAGTATTTTATATAGTATAATTTTAATGAATCTCGGTAATTAATTCGTAATGAAATTAAATTGGAATTCTCTACTCCAAGAACAGAAAATAGAGCCGTGCTTTCTTAAATTATTTTCCAAGAAAAGGTTTAAGAAATTATTTATTTATTGATTGATTCTAAAGCCACGTGCGATATATGAGTATTCAAAATAAATATATTTGTTACTGGAAAATAGGCTTTAAGAAAGTGAGTTTACACACAAATTGTGAAACCAATCAATTCCTTTCAACTCCCAATATTGAATTCTAGGTTATAATTTTATAATAGTTAAGTATATTAATTAAGTAAAAGTTAAAAGACATTATGAAGTTAGTAACATAAAATCTAAACTATTCGACACGAAACTTTTCAATATGACATCTTCTTAAATACCTCTATTTTTATATATTTAAAAAATGCATAAAAATGTATTTGATTGGTTATATATACAGTTATATATAAGAACTATGTACTGCAAAATAATTCTTTGATTTTCTTTTATATTATAAAAGCTGTGTGTGTTATAAAAATATTATAAAGAGATTTTTTTTTATTGCTTATTTAGTTCTGGCGCCGAAACTATGTGACCGATTTTATTGCTGGTGAGGATTATTTATGTAGGTACATTAAACAACTGACTTTATTAGACTGCTTGGTTACTTTATTATAATATTAAAAACAGAAGGAAAAGTACTACTTATGACCTTACGCTGTTAACATTATAAACAGAACAAGTAAAAATATAATTTGCATTGGTATATGATTTACAACGATTAAAAAAAAACATACAAACAGACGGAGACAATGATACAACATTGCACCACAAGTCTTAGATTAAATTAAATGGCGGGCGAAACAGCTTGTAAAGTCGTTATATTTTGCTTTGTTTGTGGTACATTTTTTTCGCCCCCTCCTTTCTTCCACGTATCACTTCTCGCAAACGCGTTCTTTATCCAATTATCCGTAGATAAATCTCACCTGCGACTGCTGAGGAAATGGCGAAGGAAAACGGTGCTTTGGGGAGGTGCCTTCCCGTTATATCTACAAATATTGTTTTTGTATTCCACTTCGCTAGCCGGTCATCCGTAGGCGATGCGTTCTTTGTGAGCAATTTAATCATATTGAGATGTTCGCTTCTCCTCATTTTATTTTGTTCTTACAAAAATTCTTATACCCCGTCGAACTACAAAAGTAAGTTTATGTTTAAGACCGTGATCACACTGCCGCACTTCAGACGGACTTTGTGGACTGTACCGACCGCGTGTCATTCAGAACTTCCCTAATAACAGAGGTCTGCTTACGGCGGTGGTGTGTAGCGTAACGTGCAGCCTTGTGTACATTTTTGTGTACGGTCTAAAATATAAAGAAGATAAAAAATCCAAGTGGAAGAGTAGATTAGTTTTTTATATTTTTAATGAGAGCTTGTTTAAACTTTATTTCTTTGATCGAAATCTATTATACGAGTATGTTAGAGATATTTGGTTTAGACATTCTATCGAGAGGAACGTAAGAGTGCCACTCTGACAACGTGAAGAGGCGTTTCAATTTAC